GAGGAGGAGGAGGAGGAGGAGGAGGTCCAGGAGGAGGAGGAAGAGTGACGAGGGTGAGGAGGGGGAGGAAAGGAGGAAGGGGAGGAGGGAGGGAAGGGGAGGAGGGGAGGAGGAGGAGGGAGGAGGAGGAAGGAGGAGAGAGGCGGAGAGGAGGGAGGAGGAGGAGGAGGAGGAGGAGGAGTAGGAGGAGGAGGAGGAGGCTTCCAGGATCGAGGTTGTCGGGACGTTTTTGCTGCCCTCCTTTGTGGTGGGCCGCCCTGGGTCGTCTTCGTCGCCGACGGCCGGAGCGCAGTGGCCCCAGGGCAGCGACCCAGTGCCCAGGGGATGTCCGGCCCCAGGGCAGCGACCCAGTGCCCAGGGGACGTCGGCGGCGTCGTCGTCGTCGTCGTCGTCGCGGTCGATCCCCCGCCCCCGTCCAGGCCCAGAAGTTGTTCTTTTCCGCGAAGAAGGTCTCGGCGTGAGGTCCTGGCCTGGCAGGCTGGAGGGCGCGCGGCATGGCCCTCCGTTCCCAGGGCGCCTGGCGAAGGCAGTCACACTTGTGTTGCACACCTGTCTCGCTGCGTGTTCGTGTTCTTCTGGATATAAAAGGGGAAATAATCGGTTCCCTTGCCCCCCCCTTCCCCCTCCCCCCTCCAAGGAGAAGGAGGAGGAACGGGGGGAGGAGGGGGGAGGAGGAGGAGACCGTTTTTTTGTTGAGGCAGTTTTTTTGTTGAGGCCGTTTTTTTGATTGAGGCCGTTTTTTTGTTGAGGCAGTTTTTTGGTTGAGGGAGGAGGAGGAGGAGGAGGAGGAGGAGGAGGGAGGAAGGAGGAGGAGGGGGAGGAGGGGAGGAGGAGGAGGGGAGGAGGAGGAGGAGGGAGGAGGAGGGAGGAGGAGGGAAGAGGAGGAGGGAGGAGGGGGAGGAGGGGGAGGAGGAGGAGGAGCAGGTAAGAGGAGGAGGAGAGGAGGAAGAGGAGGAGGGAGGAGTCCAGGAGGAGGAGGAGGAGTGAGGAGGGGGAGGAGGGGGAGGAAAGAGGAAGGGGGGGAAGGGAGGGGAGGGGAGGAAGGAGGAGGAGGAGGAGGAGGAGGAGGAGGAGGAGGAGGAGGAGCTTCCAGGATCGAGGTTTTCGGGGCGTTTTTGCTGCCCTCCTTTGTGGTGGGCCGCCGCGGGTCGTCCTCGGCGCCGACGGCCGGAGCGCAGTGGCCCCAGGGCAGCGACCCAGTGCCCAGGGGATGTCCGGCCCCAGGGCAGCGACCCAGTGCCCAGGGGATGTCGGCGGCGTCGTCGTCGTCGTCGTCGTCGTCGTCGTCGTCGTCGTCGTCGTCGTCGTCGCGGCTGTCCGTCCTCCTCCCTTCGGTTGCCATTTTGGATCAAGCTTTCGGCTCGGCGCGCGCTGCGCTTCCCGTCGGCGACGGGTTCCCTCCCGTCGCAGTGGCGGGGAGGCCACGCGTTCCTTTGCGTGCGCGAACGCATAGAGGCGCCAGAGTGCAGTAGTTTGCTTGGCGGGGCGCCCGCCAGGGTGCCGCCGAGGCGCCGGCTGGAGGGCGCCAGGCTCGCCGCCCAGCGTGCGGCGCGGCGCTCCCCCCGAGGCCTTGCCGTGCGCTGGCGCCGTTCAGAGGCGCAGAAAGCGCACTAAGCGCCACTAAATCGTCACTCGCAGGGCGATCATGTTACCACGGCAAGGGACCATAGTCTGCCACATAAGCATCAGGAAGCAAACGAAGGCCACACCATGGCTCCAAGAGCGCCCTTAAGGTTGCTGAAAATAGTGTTTTCGCTAGGGACATCTTCAAACAAATAACACATCGAACAGCATCGTTTTGAAACCTGCTGTTTTAACATCGTCTTGGGATCGCTCCTGAAAAGGCTTCTAGATGGTTTAAGCCAGTCATCTAAAAATGACGATTTCGCTAGGGAAATCCTGAAACAAATGAATGTGTGTAACATCGGACTGTAAAGGTTTCGTAAGGCATCAAGAAGGCCCCCAAAGGCCCCAAACAAGCCCAAATTTGACCCCCAGGAGCGCCCTCGAGACGATCCAGAATGGCAATTTCGCCTGAGACATCCGTACAACAATGAAATGTTCACAACATCGATTTCATCCAAACTGAGCGTTTCGCATGAGGCATCCCTTAAACATGGGAAGCCGCGAGTTCGACAGATGTTCAAAAACTAGCGTCTCGTCTGAGACATCCTAACAAACATGATATCTTGGAGTGGCGTTTTTACTACGCATCGTGTCAAACATCGCGCTTTCGCTGCATACATCCGCAAAGAAATCGGGCGGAGCATGGCCGGCGAAAAAAGAGCAAGGCAGATAATGAGCAGTTCTGCCGTGCTCCTTCGCTCTTGACGTCTATTCTGCCGTGCTCCTTCGTTCCTGGGGTCTATTCTGAAATGCTCCCTGTTTTTTTTGTCCCGTGCTCCTTCGCTCTTCGGGCCTATTCTGCCATGCTCCTGGCCACTTTCTGTCACAATCCTTTGTTCTTGGGGCTTATGATGCCTTGCTCCTGGTCGTTTTCTGCCGTGCTCCTTAGCTCTTGGGGCATATTCTGCCGTGCTCCTTCGCTTTCGGGGTTTATTCTGCCGTGCTCCGTGTGTTTTTCTTGCATACTCTTTCCTTGGGGCGTATTATGCCGTATTCTTGCATCTATCTTGCCGTGCTCCTTAGCTCTTGCGGTCTATTCTGCCATGCTCCTGGTCACTGGTCGCGTTTTGCAATGTTCCTTCTTTCCTGGCACCTATTCTGCCGTGCTCCTCAGCTCTTGGGGTATATTCTGTCGTGCTCCTGTTTTTTTTTCTATCATGCTCCTTCGCTCCTGGGGCCTACTTTGCCGTGCTCCTTCGGTCTTGGGGTCTATTCTGCCGTGTGTTTTGTCTTGTTTGGCTTGGGTCCTTTGCGATTGAGGTTCGTATCCCTAGTTTTTTTTGCCGTGCTCGTTAGCTCTTGGAATTGATTTTGCCGAACATAGAGGGGCACGGCAGAACACGCAAGATCACGGCAAAACAGACAGAACACACGGGAACACGGCAAAACACACAGGAGCACGGCAGCACACGCAGGAGCATGGCAGAACAAGTAGGAGCATGGCAGAACACACAAGAGCGCGACAGAATGCACAGGAGCACGACAGAACACACAGGAACACGGCAGACCACGCAGGAGCACGGCAGAACACACAGGAACATTGGATATTTCGTTTCACATGCTTGGTGGACGAAGCGACTCTTCTCAAGGAATGAGTTGGAATAAAGCCTTGAAGATCGTCCTAGATTGTCTATTCTTCCGTGCTCCTGGTTTTTTCTATCGTGCTCCTTCGCTCCTGGGGCCTATTCTGCCGTGCTCCTTCGCTCTTGGGGCTATTTTCCCGTGCTCTTTGTATTCTTCTGCCATGGTCCTTTGCTCTTGGGTTCCGTATTCCTGGTCCTTCTCTGCCGTGCTCTTTAGCCTTTGGGGTTGATTCTGCCGAACATAGAGGGGCACGGCAGAACACGCAGGAGCACGGCAAAACAGATAGAGCACACAGGAACACGGCAGAACACACATGAACACGACAGCACACGCAGGAGCATGGCAAAACAAGCAGGTACATGATAGACCACACGGAAGCACGGCAGAACACACAGGAACACGGCAGAACACGCAGGAGCATGGCAGAAGGAGCAGGGACATGGCACAACACACAAGAGCACAGCAGAATACACAGCAGCACGGCAGAACACGCAGGAACACGGCAGACCATGCAGAAGCACGGCAGAACACACAGGAGCACGGCAAATATCATTTTACATGCCTGGTGGACGAAGCGACGCTTCCCGTTCTTGTCCGGTCAGGTTCCTCGGGATGGCGATTTTACGTGAGACATCCTCACAAAAATGAGATCTTCGCGACATCGCGTTTAACAAAAACAAGCGTTTCGCTCGAGTCATCTTCGAAAAGTTGATGACAGCGAAATTTCGCCGTCTGTGAAAATTTGCGTTTCGCTCGGGACATCCTCGAAAAACTGAGATGACGATTGAAGTCTTTAACCAACTCTTATGTTAAGAATTGCGATTTCGCTAGGGACATCCTCAGAAAACGAGCGGCAGCACGGCGGACCAGAACGAAGAGCACGGTTGCATTTCGCTAGGGACATCCTCAACCAAATGAGATGTCCTCAACGTCGTCTTGGTATCGTTCTCGAAGTACCTGAAGATGACGAAATGAGAGGCCAAAAAGTATGTCAAGATGGCTGTCAGAACGATTGGGGGACTTTCGAAAATAGCGATTTCGCTAGGGACATCCTCAAACAGTGAAAACATACACCAGCATCGACGTGAAAACAACATAGTTTTGACTTTGCTTCTGAAAAGGCTTCCAGACGGCCCAAGGCAGCCTTCAACAAATGTCGATTTCGTTAGGGACATCCTCAAAACATTGATGCGTGCGACATCGCATCGTAATGATTTTAGGAGGGCATCAGGAAGCAACAGACGGCCACAACATGGCCCCAAGAGCGCCCTTAAGGTTGCTGAACATAGTGTTTTCGCTAGGGACATCTTCAACAAAATAACAACTCGAACAACATCGTTTTGAAAACTGCTGTTTTAACATCGTCTGGGGATCGCTCCTGAAAAAGGCTTCTAGATGGTTCCTGCCAGTCATCTAAAAATGACGATTTCGCTAGGGACATCCTGAAACAACGAATGTTTGTAACATCGGACTGTAACGGTTTTGTAAGGCATCAAGAAGGCCCTCTCAAAGGCCCCACACAAGCCCAAATTTGACCCCCAGGAGCGCCCTCGAGACGATCCAAAATGGCGATTTCGCCTGAGACATCCGTACAAAAATGAAATGTTCACAACATCGATTTCATCCAAAATGAGCGTTTCGCCTGAGACATCCCTTAAACATGGGAACCCGCGAGTTCGACAGATGTTCAAAAACTAGCGTCTCGCCTGAGACATCCTAACAAACATGATATCTTGGAGTGGCGGTTTCAATACCTCTCATGTTTAAAATCGCGCTCTCGCTGCATACATCCTCAACAAAAATCGGGCGGGGCATGGCCGGCGAAAAAAGTGCTCATTCGTTCTTCACGTCTATTCTGCCGTGCTCTTTCGTTCTTGGGGTCTATTCTGAAATGCTCCTTGTTTTTTGTGCCGTGCCTATTCTGCCATGCTCCTGGCCAGTTTCTGTCACAATCCTTTGTTCTTGGGGCTTATGATGCCGTGCTCCTGGTCGTTTTCTGCCGTGCTCCTTAGCTCTTGGGGCACATTCTGCCGTGCTCCTTCGCTTTCGGGGTTTATTCTGCCGTGCTCCGTGTGTTTCTCTTGCATACTCCTTCTTCCTTGGGGCGTATTATGCTGCATTCTTGCATCTATCTTGCCGTGCTCCTTAGCTCTTGCGGTCTATTCTGCCGTGCGCCTGGTCACTGGTCGTGTTTTGCGATGCTCCTTCTTTCTTGGCGCCTATTTTGGGGTCTATTCTGCCGTGCTCCTGGTTTGTTTCTGTCATGCTCCTTCGCTCTTGGGGCCTCTTCTGCCGTGCTCCTCAGCTCTTGGGGTCTATTCTGCCGTGCTCTTTGTTTTTTTTCTGCCGTGCTCCTTCGCTCATGGGGCCTATTCTGCCGTGCTCCTAGTCTTTTTCTGCCGTGCTCCTTAGCTCTGGGGTCTATTCTGCCGTGGTCCTGGTCTTCTTCTGCCGTGCCCCTGAGCTCTGGGGGTCTATTCTGCCGTGCTCCTGGTCATTTTCTGCCGTGCTTCTTCGCACTTGGGGCATATTCTGCCGTGCTCCTTGTCTCTTCGGGCCTATTCTGCCGTGCTCCTGGTCGTTTCTGTCGTAATCCTTGGCTCCTCGGGCCTTTACTGCTGTGCTTCGGTCTTTTCTGCCGTCGTCCTGAACTCTTGGGGCATCTTCTGCCGTGCTCCTGGTCCTTTTCTGGCGTCTTTTTCGCTCTTGGGGCTTATTATGCCGTGCTCCTTAGCTCTTGGGGTCTATTCTGCCGTGCTCCTGGTCTTTTTCTGCCGTGCTCGGCAGCTCTTGGAGTCTATTCTGCCATGCTCCTGGTTTGTTTCCGACGTGCTCCTTCGCTCATGGGGTCTATTCTGCTGTGTTCCTGGTCTTTGTCTGCCGTGCTCCTGCTTTTTTTCTGCCGTGCTCCTTCGCACTTGGGGCATATTCTGCCGTGTTCCTTGTCTCTTGGGTTCTATTCTACTGTGCTCCTCGTCTTTTTCTGGTTTGCTCCTTCGCTCTTGGGGTCTATTTTCCCGCACTCCTTCAGCTCTCGGGGTCTACTCTCGCGTGCTTCTGTTATTTTCTGCCGTGCTCCTTCGCTCTTGTGGCCTATTTTTGCCGTGCTCCTGGTCATTCTCTGCCGTGCTCCTTAGCTTTTGGGGTCTATCCTGCCGTGCTCCTCGTCTTTCTCTGCCGTACTCCTTCGCACTTGAGGCACATCCAGCCCTGCTCCTTAGCTCCTGGGGTCTATTCTGCAGTGCTCCTGGTCGCTCTTGGGGCCTAATCTGCCGTGCTCCTGTTTTTTTCGTCGTGCTCCTTCGCTCTTGGGCCTATTCTGCCGTGCTCCTGGTCATTCTCTGCCGTGCTCCTTAGCTCTTGGGGTCTATTCTGCCGTGCTCCTCGTCTTTCTCTGCCGTACTCCTTCGCATTTGAGGCATATCCAGCCCTGCTCCTTAGCTCCTGGGGTCTATTCTGCAGTGCTCCTGGTCTTTTTCTGCCGTGCTCCTTCGCTCTTGGGGCCTAATCTGCCGTGCTCCTGGTCTTTTTCTGCCTTAGCTCTTGAGGTCTATTCTGCCGTGCTCCTGGTCATTTTCTGCCGTGCTCCTTAGCTAATGGGGTGTATTCTGCCGTACTCATTTGCTCTTGGGGTCTATTCTGCCGTGTTCCTTGTCTTTTTCTGCCGTGCTCCTTCGCTCTTGGGGCCTATTCTGCCGTGCTCCTCATCTTTTTCTGCCGTGTGCGCCCAGAAGTTCTGCCAAAACGACCACCGCGACGATCCGCACGGCAGATACAGGAACAGGGCAGAACACACAGAGCACATAGAGGCACGGCAGAACACAGAAGCACGGCAGAACAGGAGCACGGCAGAACACACAGGAGCACAGCAAAACACACCCCGCACGCACGCCGACACGCGCGCCACGGCATACCTGCGCGGCATAACAACAACAGAGCATTTTCCACATGCTTGGTGGGCTAAAGCGACGCTTCCCGTTCTTGTCCGGTCGGGTTCCTTCGGTTTGGGAGGTCTCTTTCAGCAGTACGTAGCACGCTGACGGATTTCCCACGGCGGTGTATCATCGATATTGCTTCTGGTCCCCCAGAAGCATTACCCTTGGGGGAGGTCCGCGCAGATTTCTTGGATCTGCGCTGGATCGATCGCCCCGGCGCCGCCGCCGGTGCCACACCTGGTGCGCTTGAGGGCGGAGGACATCGAAGGGGACACGCTTGTGTGAACATAAACCCTCGGAGCTCCGCGCGGAGCTCTCGGATCGGCGCTCCCCCCCCCAAGGCACGGTCCGCGCGCCAAGGAGGGATATGAGCGGTCAGCATTCCCGTATCCGCGCCCTCGCGGTCTCGATTCCACGGCGCGATCCCGCGGACACGCGCTCGCACCGAGTCCTCGCGGGGCATCCGCGCAAAAGTTGCCCGTATCCGCGGGGTCGCTGCCCAGGGGCCTGGCCTGCGAGGCCGCGAACACGGATCGAGGTGGCGACGCAAGAAGTCCGCGCGGACGCGGACTTTTCAATTCTTCTGTGAGTGCCTGTGCCGTCTTCTGCTCCTCGGCTTAAGTGGGGCCTGTTTCCTCTACAGGGGGAATACTCCCAAGTAGTAACAGAACAGTCTGGGGACGATTGTTGGACCAGTTTTGATTACGCTGAAGAAGCTTGCTGAGACCATCTTTGCTTCGTCCTCCAGAACCGAAAGAGCTTCGCGGCCCGCCTAGCTCTTAACCGAAAGAGGCTCGCTCTCGACCCGCAGACCAAAACAAAATGTTGGTCTTGGTGCCAATCTCCAGGCCTCCAAACATTCAGGAGGGAAAGAAATACACAGACACAATTAATCGTCGATCCCCCCAAAAAGATAGGGAAATATGGGAAGGGGGGGGGGAAACAGAAACCCAGAAAATATGGGAAAATAGGGGGGTCTCATTTGTGTGTACTCATTGGTGTGTCCTTGGGCCCCTCCAGACATGCCCGACCGGATCCTCGGCCCTCAGGTGGCCCGCCTTCTGCGGCTACTGCCGGGCCCAGCGCCTGTGCAGCGAGGCGCCGGGCCTCCCAGGAAGGGGGCCAGGGCAGCGCGGGGCCGCAGGAGCGCGCCGCGCCGCGGGGGCGTCGGCGGCGCGGCGCGGCCCGTCGAGCAGCGGCGCGCCGGGTCTCGACCTGCCGATGTTCCCTGAGTCATCGAGGGTAACTGAACCTCCTCCTCTTCCTCCTCCTCCTCCTCCTCGTCCTGCTCCTTCTCCTCCTCCACCTCCTCCTCCACCTCCTCCTCCTCGTCCTGCTCCACCTCCTCCTCCTCCACCTCCTCCACCTCCTCCTCCTCGTCCTGCTCCACGTCCTCCTTCTCCTCCTCCTTCTCCTCCTCCTCCTCCTGCTCCTCCTCCTCATTCGCCTCCTTCTCCTCCTTCTCCTCCTCCTCCTCCTCCTCCTCCTCCTTATCCCTAGCAACACTCCCAGGAGGGCGCGTTGAGGCAAGGGTCGCCTTCTTGACCCTCCGGGTGCCCCCTCGTCGCCACGGCTGGACGCAGCTAGGAAAACGGGTGCACTTGGGCCGGGGAGAGTTCCGGGGACCGGTTTTGAGCGGATTTGGGCCACCGTTGTCTGACCGCGGTTGTCTCACGCGGCCCTTTCCGAAACACAGTGAAAACGTGGCCTCACTGAGGTCCCCGTCTTGTTGATTAACCGCCGACGGGCGATAATAAAGTACCCTCCTTTCCCCCTCTATCTTTTTTATCCCCGACCACAGGGATCTATCCGTGGGGATGGCGCGGAGGCCGAACTTTATAATCCACGGGAAAGTTGCGGGGATCGAAGTTGCTATCATATCGTGTTGATTAGCAACAGCATCAAAATTCTGAGCATGGCCGTGATGGTCTCGCCACACCAGCTTCCGCAATCACAAGGGTTTAACCTCCTCCACCATCATCATCATCATCATCATCATCATCATCATCATCATCACCATCACCATCACCATCACCATCACCATCACCATCACCATCACCTTCATCTTCATCTTCATCTTCATCTTCATCTTCGTCAGCATCATCTTAACTTACCTCCCCCGAGAAAATCCTTGATTATCCCTGCGGGAACCGCGAACTTTTTCTCCCAGGGGGTTTATTATCGCCCGTGGTCGGTTAGGGATCATCGATACGGGCAGTTTCGTGCGATGCATTTGCAGAGAAAAAACCATATCCCTACTGTTTGTGGCCCCCTGACTCAGGCCCCCTCCCAAAGGTCTAGGGGTCCTTTTATTGCGAACCACGTAGGCGCACCAAGTTCGGATGCGGCTGGGGGGGTGATGTGGCCCAGCATTGTTTCTGGCGAGCATCAAGGGGGGGGGGATGTTTGAGGCTTTAGGCTCAGGACAGGCTCGGCCTCCGGGAGTCGGTGTCGCCAGCGGAGATTCTGGAATGAAAAATTGCACCAGAGGGATCCTGGGAGAGATCCTGGGGCCGCTTCGCTCGGGGCTCAGGAGACGGGGGTCAATGCAAACGGGGGTCAGCCAGAGCGCCGGATCCTGCAGGACCCTGCAGAGCCAGGGGTGCGTTGACCCGTGCTAGAGTGCAGGATCCTGCAGGATCCTGCTGGCTCTTGCAAAACCTGACTGACCCAAATTCACCCAGGTCAGTACATCCCTGGTTATCCGCGGACTTGGCCTCATTCCCCCTCTTGACCGATTTGTCTCGGTGTCCGATCAGCTCAGACTCCCTCTGGCCGCCGCCTCCAACAAGCAGTGGCGAAGCGTCCTGATTTGATTATAAGCCCACCAAAGTATGTTCTAAGGCCATGCTGTGGTTTCCATGAGGTTTTCTTAGGGAGCATGTCTGGCTGAAGCAGACTTGGTTGAAAACTTGATCATGTTCGGCGACGCTTTGTGATGTTGTTTGGACACTCTCTTGGTTTTAAAGCGCACGTCGTGGAAGGCCTCTAGGAATGCCGAAGCGGTGGGCTGCTGCTCACATCCAGAGTGCGACGCCCCGACGTCGCCGGTGCATTTGGGATGCACCAGCGGTGCGGTGCGATCCTTTGGCCCCGTCTGCTTTGGCGCCCCTCGCGGGGAGGCCTCCGGAGGAGGCCCTCGAGCGAGGGTTCGCGGCCATGACGCGCCCGGTGCCGCTGAGTTTCCGGCTGAACCTCGCCTCGCCGCGCGGGCGCGAGGCGCTGGCGGCGCTGCAGCGCCTCATCGGAGACCGCTTGGAGCCCGTGGCCTGGATGCCGGAGCAGTCGGGCTGGAGGGTGGTGCCGGGCGGGAGCCGCAGCGGCGAGGATCGAGGAGGACAAATCTCAGGAGGGGAAAACACACACAGACACAATTGATCGTCGATCCCGAGGAAAGTATGGGAAGTGGGGGGGAAGACAGATGTCCAGAAAATCCGAGGTCCGACGCCGATCCGAGAAGTCCACGCGGACCCCCCGAGCATTTTTTGTTTCTGTTGTTCCTCCTCCTCCTCCTCCTCGTCCTTCCTCGTCCTCCTCCTCATCCTTCTCCTCCTCCTCCTCGCTCCCCTTCCTCCTACTCATCCTTCTCCTCCTCCTCATCCTCCTCCTCCTTCTCCTCCTCCTCCTCCTCCTCCTGTAGCAACGTGTAACAGTGTGCAATGCTGAATGTTTCCGTGCTGGCCGCAACTGTCTGTGCTCAAGCGGTTTTCGAGGCGGCGGATGGGAGATTTCGGCTGGGCCTTTTCTGCCGACAAGTTCCCGGCCCCGGCGCCCAGCTTCATAAGTGGCGTGAAGGAGGCGTTAGGCGTCAGCCCCTGTGCTCTGGGGCTCTCGAGTGCCGCCCACGCCTGCCTTGGCTCCCAGGACATCTGGGGAGCTCCTCTGCCCCTCGGGCTGTCCGTGACGGCAGCTGTCCTGGCCTTCGTGCTGGGCGCGCTGCTGGTGCTGGCGGCGCAGGCGGTGTGCTGCTCTTGCTACGTGACGTGCCGGCTGGTGCTGGCGGGCGCCTTCGCGCTCAGACAGCCGAGCCCTCAGGAGGCCCTCGGCCCTCGCCTCCTTGGTGCAGGCGCATGTGGGAGTGCAGCCGCAGGTCGAACGACAAGATGCGCGCGGCTCCGAGAAAGCGAAGGTCACTGGTGGGGCTGAAGCCCGGGGACGTGGTCTTCGTCAACTACGGGGTGGACGGGGAACCATGGCATGAGCGCCTGATCCTCGCGGTCGTGGACCACTGCTGTTGCATCATCATGACCCCAGATGGGGACATCTACGCGGATACCATCAGCCTGGAGTTCCTCCAGGACTTCAGAGAGGGGGGCCCCCGAGGGGGGCTTCCCCCTGGGCTGGGCGCGGCGCGCGGCCAGCCCGTGTACCGCTTCTCGGCGAAGCCCGTCGGGCAGGAGCTGCAGGACTTGCTCGAGGAGGGCCGCGCCAAGTCGGCCGAGGAGAGGCGCATGATGGGCATTCTGGATGACGAGCCGGAGCCGCCGCCAGCGTCGGCGGGAGCCGGCGCGAGCGCGGCTCCCCCTCTGCCTCCCCTGGCTGGATCGCCTCCTGCTGGGTCAAGCTCGGAGCTCTTCAAGTGGGTGTGCGTGGCGCGGTCGGCACAGGTGAGCGTGGGCAACACCTTCATGCTCGCGGCGCAGCACCACACCCCGTCGGACAGCTTTGTCAGCAACGGCTCGGTGGGCCTGTATGACATGGGCCTGCGAGGCGATCCCGCGGTGCTGTACCGCGTGGAGGTGGGGAAGCAGGAGAGTGAGGTGATCGAGCACTTCAGGCGCCTGACGAAGAAGGACAGCGACGTGGAGGGCACGGACACTCCCCCGGTGCGAGCGTCAGGAGCGTCCAGCTCCGAGGACGCTCGCACCTTGCCGGTGCTGCGCGACAGCGCGGGACGGCGCTTCAGGGACATGAAGAGTGTGGCGAACAGCTCGGAGATTTGTGCCTTCGACGACTGGGTGCTGGAGGGGCCGCGTACGGCCTTGTACCTGGTGAAGGAGATAGCTAAGCAGGCGGCTGCTCCCCTCCAGCGCCACTCGACCTGGAAGCACGAGAACAAGCTGCAGGATGACGAGCACAATGCGGTGACGCACGAGATGCTCTCGGAGATCCTCGAGCTGGCGACCACGTTCGACCAGCTCGACGTGTCGAACTTGGCGAGCATGGAGAGCCTGTGCCGCCACATCCAGTACATCGAGCAGCGGATCAAGAAGAAGCGGGAGGCCGGGAAGGACTTCGACCTGCAGGACTACTACCTGGGCAGGACGCGGCGCGCGGGCGGTGCGCTGATGGCCCCGGAGCTTCAGAAGTGGGTGGCCGAGTCGGCGGCCCGCGATTCGTCCATCTTGAAGGAGGAGAGGAAGGCTGCCGAGGAGCGTGCGCTTGCGCGCGCTCCTAAGAAGTCATGATGGGCTCAAGATCCGGGGGCTGGCCGTCCCGGGTCGCAGATTCAGGCCGTACTATGGAGAGGGTAGTGCCGCGGGATTTGTTCCCCTTGCCCGAGGTGACCTGCAGCTCTCCTGAACAGCGCCGAGGTCCTCGCCGTGCTGCTCAGCGTCTGGGCAGGAAGGCGGCCATCGGCCGACGCTCGAACGACTGCATCGCCGCTCTCAACAACCTGTATGGGGACGGCTTGTTTCTGCTTGGAGGAAGACCCTCGCAGGCGCAGTTTTCGGCGCTTGACGGCATCCTGCGCGCGGTCACTGACGACAGGCCGCCGGGCCCGTTGCCCGCCCCCGAGGCAGCCCTTCAGGAGTTGCTCGGTACCGAGGCCCTCGACTACGCGTCCGAGGACCTCTCCGTGGTTGCACCGTATGATCGCGGCTTGGTCTCGTGGCCGGACACCGCGGGCTCGGTTGACTTGCTGGACGTGTTGCCAGACCCTGGCCGCCAGGAGGTGATCGACGGTCCCCGTGCGCTTCTGCTTCGGGCTGAGGAGGAGCCGCCAGCGACCTGCAAGGTCTACTGGGACAAGACGCTCAAGGCGGACAGAGGCGAGTACACCAGGTTCGTGCAGGACCTGCTGAACAGGGGCATGGTGGAGCTCCGTGCTCGCCGTGATTCTGAGGTTGGGAAATTCTTCGTGCGCAAGTAGTCGGGCAAGTTGCGCCTGATAGTGGACGCCAGGTCCGTCAATCAGAACCTCAGGCGTCCCACTTCCATCCAGCTGGCGTCGACTGCGGCGATGGTCGGGCTGGGGGCGGAGCCTGGGGACAAGCTAGAGTTCTCGATTCAGGACATCGCCGACTGCTTCTACCAGTTCAAGGTGCCGGACTACATGGTGCCGCGGTTCGGGATGAGGCTCGCCAGGGCCGGCGAGGTGGGGGCCAAGACCGTGCAGGGCGAGCCGGTTCTTGCAGGCGCCTGGGTCTACCCCTGTCTGCGGGTGCTGCCCATGGGCTTCTCGTGGGCCATGAGATGGACGCAGCAGGCGCGTCGAGAGCTGCTGCGGCGGGCAGCGCTTGGAGGCATCGAGAGTGAGCTGGTGGACCGCCAGGTGCCCCCGACGACCTCGGCAGCGCTTGTTTCCCGCATCGCGTACGTGGACAACGAGGTCTTCGTCTCGTCTCGACCAGGTGCCTCTGCCGACGCCAGACAGCAGGCGGCCAAGAAGATGTCCAGCATCGGGCTGCCGCTGCACGAGGTGGAGGAGGGCAAGCATGTCGTCGAAGCGCTGGGCCTGGAGCTGGATGGCATCAAGCTTCGGCGCCGCCCGGCCTCTTCAAAGCGGTGGCGGCTGGTGCAGGGCACGCGCGCGCTTTTGAGGCGGCGGCTGGTGGCCGGCAGGGAGGTCGAGAAGCTGATCGGCCACTTTACGCATGCCATGTTGCTGAACCGCCCGGCGCTTTGTATCTTCCGCGCCGCCTACGACTTCGCTCGGAGGCACTACCGGGCGCCTAGCTTGCTCTGGCCTTCGGTGAAGCAGGAGCTGCAGAACGCCATGCACATATGCCGCTGCTCGCGGTGCAATTCGATATGTCGATATGCCGTGGTCGGGGTTGGTCACCTGCTCCGACGCTACGCTGGGGGGCTACGCCGTGCAGGAGGCTGGCTTCCCGGTGTCTGAGGTAAGGCAAGTGGGGCGCTGGAGTGAACGCTGGCGCTTCAAGGTCGAGGGGGCCGGCCGTCCTCGGGGCCGGGCGTTGGGCGGCTCTCTGCCGCTCGATGGACTCGAGGCTTTCGCTGAGAATGGAGAACACTACGACGACGGCATTGCCATTAGCATCAATCATCATTTCCCTGAGCTACCAGCATCGTTCACCAAGGAGGAGGGTAATTGGAGGACTATACAAGCGAGGAGGTATCACAGGAAGGAGGCAATCCACCTGAAGGAGTTGAGGGCGGTGTTTCGGTGGAGGCGCAAATGCAGACAAGCTAAACATCATCATAAGCATCATCTATTTCTGTGTGACAACATGGGCATGGTTCTGAGTCTGGAGAGGGGCGAGCTGCATCTGGACCCGTACTCTTTCTGCTCCGGAAGTGGGCCGCGTTTTCTCTGGCCACCTTCTCTCGCACCTGTGTGAGATGGATTGCGAGCGAGCTGAACCCCAGCGATGAGCCCAGCCGATGGTTCGACACGCCTGCTGAGAAGGCGGCTGCAGCTGCATTGGGAGCCCACCAGCGCGAGGCTCACGGAGAGGTGCCTGAGGCGTGTAGCAGCGCCTCCCGCGCTGTCTGGTGCAGGCGCGCCTGGCACCCCTCCGCCGTCGGCGGGCCGGCCCCCGAGAGACAGCTGCAGCGGCGGAGCGACCCGGTGCCCGACGCTGTCGTCGGGCCATGGCAGAGTGGCGGCGGCCCAGGTTACCTCGACAGGGCGGCTGCGCGGCTTATCAGCGAGGTCTCGCCGATCCCCTGCGAGGCCGAGAGGCCTCCCCCCACCTCCGGCGGCTGGGGCGAGGGGCCGGGCTCGCGCGAGGATAGCTGGTGCTGGCGGGCCGACCGTCCTGGGGCAGGAGAGCATAACGGCGAAGACCAAGGAGGACTACGAGCGGAGGCTGGAGCGGTTCTTCGGCTTCTGCAGCATCAGCGGCCTGGCGCTCGACACCGACCTGCTGCTCGAGGAGGCCCTGGTGGAGTACATGGACCTCCTGTTCGCGCAGGGGGAGCCCTGCAACAGCGGGGCCAAGCTGCTGGCGGCAGTGGGCCATCGCTGGCCAAGGCTCCATCATGCCGGGCGGTTGCTGAAGCTGTCGAGGGCGGCGAAGGCGCTGCAGGGGTGGCGACGACTGGCGCCGCCACTGACGCGGGCGCCCGTGCCGCGGGCCGCCGTGGCGGCCATCGCGCTGGCACTGGTCAGGCGCAAGCAGCCACTGGCGGCTCTGGCGGCGGTGCTGGAGGCAGACGCCTACCTTCGGCCAGGCGAGCTGCTGTCGCTCCGGGCCAACCGTGTGGTCCCAGCCCAGCCAGAGGCCGGGGGCGACTACCGCTTCGCGTCGCTGGTGCTGAGGCCAGAGGAGGAGCTGCAGCCGACCACGACGAGAGGTTTCAACGACTCGATCCTGCTGGACAGCGCGTCGAGGCCCAACCTGGGCGTGCTGGTGGAGCGGCTGGCGAGGCAGAAGAGCTTCTCGGCGGAGCTCCTCTTTCCGTGGTCGGCCGCGGCTTTCACTGCCATGTTCAAGCGTGCCGCGGCCGACGTCGGCCTGGGGGCTTGGGAGCTCGCGCCGTACATCCTCAGACATGCAGGCCCGTCACACGACTGGCTGACCAAGGCGCGGTCCCTGGGCGGCATCAAGCGACGCGGGAGGTGGATCTCCGACATGTGTACGGAGGTGCGAGAAGAGCTCGCGGGTAATGCGGCGCCTGGCGTCACTGCCGCGGGACTGCCAGCTGCTGTTGGCCGAGTCGGCCAGCAACCTCGAGGCAGGGCTCAGGTTCGGGCACGTCGGCAAGTTCGAGAGCAGGCGCCAAGACGCGGGTCTTGTGCGAGGCCCTTGTTTTGGAATTGTTTTCGGACAGTCGCGGCCTTTCCCAGGCCATGTCTCGCAAAGGCTCGCGGTCGGCCACTTGGGACATCCGAGACTCACCTAAGCAAGACTTGCCTAAAGAAGCAGTAATTCGGCGCGTGTTGAAATGCATTCCCAGCGCAGGCTGGGTGCATCTCGGCACGCCATGCAGCAGTTTTTCTACAGCACGTCGAGGCAAGCTTGGCAGTCCCGGGGGCCCCCTCAGGTCCAAATTGTATCCTGGGGGCGTTCCTGAGCTTTCTGGCGTAGATGCGACCAAGGTGTCAATCGGGAGTCGTCTGGCCCTGGCTTCTACCCGTATCATTCGATGCTGCGTCAAATTTAACGTGCCTGTGTCTTTGGAGAACCCCAGGTCGCCCTGGCTGTGGCAGCAGCCAGGTCTGGCCCCTCTGTTGCGCAAAGCTTGTCTGGTTAATATTGTATACTGCAGATTCGGAACCCCGTGGCGGAAAGCCACTACTAGTGCCTGCTGGAATGCTGGTATCCCATGTGCGCTGGAGCCCCTGCGCGCAGAATGCAATGGTCCTCGCTGCAAATATTCTGGTGATCGGCATCAGGTTTTAGAGGGCAAAGCGCCAGGAGGCAAGCTCTGGACGTTGGTCGCAGAGCCCTACCCTCCTCGCTTGGTTTCCTTGTGGGCGTCTTGTGTCGACGCCTCGAGACGCTGATGTGGACCCCTCGTTTGGTGGCGCGGCGTGATCATAACTGCGCTTCGCTGCTTGGTGTCTCCGCGATGTGCTCGCACTGTTTGGGATTTCGGCTGAAAAGGGCCGCCTTAACCGCCAGGTCGCTAGATATTGGCGGATATCGGCAAGTTGACCAGCTGGTCCTTTTCTTTTGTCTCTTTGCTGCTGCCAGACAAGCCCGGCCGCAGCTGCAGCGATAATAGCCTGGCCTGAGGAAAAATGGAGCATGTAGCAACGTGTAACAGTGTGCAATGCTGAATGTTCCCGTGCTGGCCGCAACTGTCTGTGCTCAAGCGGTTTTCGGGCCCAACCACTCCACTTCGCGCCTCTCTCAGAGTGCTCTCGCACTACCGCAAGCTTGGCAGTCGCTAGAGGCAAGTTGACCAGCTGGTCCTTTTCTTTTGTTACTCTGCTGCTGCCAGACAAGCCCGGCCGCAGCTGCAGCGAAAATAGCCTGGCCTGAGGAAAAATGGAGCATCCTCCTCCTCATCTTCCCCCTCCTCCGCCTCCGCCTCCGCCTCCTCCTCCTCCTCCTCCTCCTCCTCCTCCTCCTCCTACTTGTTGCTGCTCCCTCAGAGGAGGAGGCGCGCGCCCTGGTGGTGCGCGCCATGAACCGCGGCGACTTCCAGCTCCAGGACTCATCCAGCATGCTTCCGCCGCTCGCCCTGGGTGTGGAGGAGCACCACCTGGTCCTCGACATTCGGGCCGGACGAAAGGGGGGGATTGGGAAAGGGGGGGGTACGACATCTGCTGCGTGCAGCTGGCTTCGGCCCCGCCGCCGGGCCCAGTCCTCGATACATGGGCGCCTCCTGGCGCCGGGAGGCGCGCGGGAAAATCAGCTGCGCGCGCTGATTCTCAACCCCCCCTTTGCTATCCCCCCTTCCGCCCGGCCCGAGACGTGTGCGCCGCGCCCGGCAGCAAAACGCTGCAGGTGCTGGACGCCATGCTGCACAAGGCCGCCGGGCTGTCGCCCCCGAGCTCTCTGCCCTCCGGCGGCGTCGTCGCCAACGACACGCACAAGGACCGGGCATCGAAGATCCGGCAGCGTGCCCGGTTCTGCAGGAGACGAGGGAGACCAAGTGCAGGAGGGGGAACAAAAAACACGCACGGACACGATTCATCGTCGACCCCCAGGGCAATGTGGGAAAACATGGGGGGAGAGACAAAAACCCAGCAAATATGGGAGGAGGGGGAGGAGGGGGAGGAGGGGGAGGAGGAGGAGGAGGAGGAGGAGGAGGAGGAGGAGGAGGAGGAGGAGGAGGAGGAGGGTGAAGAGGGTGAAGAGGGGGAGGAGGGGCAGTCCTGCTATTTGTGTTATTTACTCGTGTGTCCCAGGGCCCATTTCAACAAAACTGGACTCTCGGAGCGCCGCGCGGATGCCTCGGATCGGCACTGGCAGCCCTCCTGGCGGCCCCTCTCCTTGCCCACCCTCAAGTCGGGCCTGTCCCTCTGCAGGGGAGATCTTCAAATAAATAGTCCGGGGACTATTCTTTGGACCAATATTGCGCATTTGCTTTTGTTTGTGAGTTTTTGTATGGTGAAAAAAATGTCCTCCAAAATCGGGCTGTAGGGGGACATGCCCGACTTAGGCCCACCCTGCCCGCGCGCCAGGGAGGGGAGGGCCCGGCGCCGATCCGAGGGGCCCGTGCGGAGCCGTCGGAGGTTGTGCTTGTGCCGATGCCTAGGTCGGGCGCCCCTGGATCGGGGAAGCGTAAGACTCGAGTAAGCCTGGACTCGGGTTTGCCGACGTTTTCGGGAGCCTTGAGATGGGGGTCAATGCAAACGGGGGTCATTCAGGGCACCGGATCCTGCAGGATCCTGCGAAGACCCCCTCTGGCTGACCCGTCTTAGCGAGCCGCTCGTGGCCGCGAGGCGGCCGCGCATATTGGCTGACCCGGGTTTGCGAAGACCTGCGTTGCAGTTTTTTTCCTGCATTGCAGGTTTTGGTTTCCTGCTGACCCGGGTCTGGATTGACCCGGGACTCGGGTTTGCCGACGGTTTTTGACGAGCGCGTCCTGGGTTTGACGGTCCCGTTGTCGCGGGGTGTCTGCAGCGGGAGTTCGCGTCAAGTTTCAGGTTGGGTCTCGTCGTTTTCATGATGGCCCCGTCAGGCCAACTCGAGTCACCCGTACCCGAGTCTTACGTCTCCCCTACTGGAGGGGGGGCCCAGTGCCGATCCGAGCAATCCGCGCGGAGTTCCAGGAGCGTGCGTCTGTTTGCGGAGGCTTGCTTGAAGTCGGGCACGTCCTTCCACAAGATGAAACCTCAAACATATGCACAGAATAGTCCGGGGATGATGTTTCCATTTTTGTTTGATGGAATATGCGTGATTAGTTTGGATTTTTCATCCCAAATCAGCGTGTGGGGGGACATGCCCGACCTAAGGGGAGGGAAAGAAACACACTGACACAATCAATCGCCGATTCCCGAGAAGATATGAGAAAATATGGGAAGTGGGGGGGAAGGCAGTAACCCAGAACATATGGGACAAGATGGGGAATCCTGTTGTTTGTATGTATTTCTGTGTGTGTGTCCCAGGGCCCCATTCAGGCTTGCTCTTCCTCCGAGGAGGGCGTCGGCCGCGCTCCTGGTGACCCAGGTCGACGCGAGGAGGTTTCCCGCGCTGCACCTGCGGAGCCCGCAGGGCACCTACCCGAAGGTGAAGTTCGACCGCATCCCGGAGGTGCCCACTTGATGCTGGGCCTGTTTTCCACCACCACCCCCAGAAGTTGAAGGGGGGGAAGGATCGGGGGGGGGGGCAGACCTCCTACCCTGACGCGTCGATGAGCGAATTGGCCGTTCTCGGTTAGCGAGGGGGCGTCGCGGCCGTCACTCTTGCGGGTCAGGGTCCGTCGGTTTCGGTCCCAGGCCGTCTTCATTAAGGGGAGATTTACGAAAGGGAGGTTTGCCCACCGCCGAAAGGAGGTGGAGGATGAGGAGGAGGAGGAAGAGGAGGAGGAGGAGGAGGAGGAGGAGGAGGAGGAGGACCGCATCCTGGAGGTGCCCGCTTAATGATGGGCCTGTTTTCCACCACCACCACCACCACCACAAGACAGTCAACATTCTGAAATGAGGAGCAGTTTGGGCTCGGGAGGCGCTCCATTTCCCTTAGGCTCCTCTGGTGCTGTTCCTCTTGCCCTCGGGCAGGGAGACGCTCGCAGGGCCAAGAAGGGGGTTCGCTCCTTGTGCAGCGCTCCTTCTGTCGGCAGCCCGACCGAAAGTGGAAGGAGGTGGAGGAGGTGGAGGAGGAGGAGGAGGAGGAGGAGGAGGAGGAGGGGGAAGGGAGGGGAGGAGGGGGGAGGAGGAAGGAGGTGGAGGAGGAGGAGGAGGAGGAGGAGGAGGAGGAGGAGGAGGAGGCGGAGGAGGAGGAGGAGGAGGAGGAGGAGGAGGAGGAGGAGGAGGAGGGGGAAGGAGGAGGAGGAGGAGGCGGAGGAGGAGGAGGAGGGAGGAGGCCGGAGGCGGAGGCGGAGGCGGAGGCGGAGGCGGAGGCGGAGGCGGAGGAGGGAGAGAGGCGGAGGCGGAGGCGGTGAGGAGGAGGAGGAGGAGGAGGAGGCGGAGGAGGCAGGAGGAGGAGGAGGGGAGCGGAGCGGAGGCGGAGGCGGAGGCGGAGGCGGAGGCGGAGGCGGAGGCGGAGGCGGAGGCGGAGGCGGAGGCGGAGGCGGAGGCGGAGGCGGAGGCGGAGGCGGAGGCGGAGGAGGCGGAGGCGGAGGCGAGCGGCGGGAGGCGGAGGCGGAGGCGGAGGCGGAGGCGAGGAGGCGGAGAGGCGGAGGCGGAGGAGGCGGAGGCGGCGGAGGAGGCGGGGCGGAGGGCGGAGGCGGAGGCGGAGGCGGAGGCGGAGGCGGAGGCGGAGGGGAGGCGGAGGCGGAGGCGGAGGCGGAGGCGGAGGCGGAGGCGGAGGAGGAGGAGGAGGAGGAGGAGGAGGAGGAGGCGCAGGGGAGGAGGCGGCGGCGAGGCGGCGGCGGCGGCGGTGGAGGAGTGAGGAGGGGCGGAGGAGGAGGAGGAGGAGGAGGAGGAGGAGAGGAGGAGGGGGGAAGGGAGGAGGAGGAGGAGGAGGAGGAGGAGGAGGAGGAGGAGGAGGAGAGGAGAAGGAGGGTGGAGGAGGCGGTGGAAGACAGGCCCACCACGTGAGGCTCGGCACGCTCGAAACGTGTGCGGTCGGCCCGCGCCGTGCCGCCGCGGCGGCGACCCCGCCGTGGGCGTGCACGGTGGGTCGCCGCCAGTGGCCCAGAATCGGTCAACCTGGCCCAGCTCCTCTTCCCTCTCCTCCTCCTCCTCTCCCCTCCTCCCTCCCCCTCCCCCTCCTCCCTCCCCCTCCTCCTCCCATCCTCCTCCTCCCTCCTTCTCCTCCTCCTCCTCCTCCTCCTCCTCCTCCTCCTCCTCCTCATCCTCTTCCTCCTCAAGCCGCCGATCGTTCAAGGTCTTGGTATCGCTCGGACGTGTGCACTTTTGTTCTGCGGGGATTATGAAGGAGCCTCCCGGATCGTCCTGTAAACAAAAAACACACGCACGAAACCGAAAAAGGCACCGGGAATGGACGTCCGAGCGATGGCCAGAGGTTGAGCGGTGCACGCGGCGTAGGATGATCGGGCCGGAATGAAAGGGGGGGGTAGGGAAAGGAGGGGTCACGAAATCTGCTGCATGCAGCTGGTTTCGGCCCCGCCGCCGGGCCCATTCCTCGATACATGGGCGCCTCCGGCGCCGAGAGGCGCCTGGAAAATCATCTACGTGAGCTGATTCTCACCCCCTCCCCTTTGCTATCCCCCCCTGGTGCTGGTTTCGGCCCCGCCGCCGGGCCCATTCCTCGATACATGGGCGCCTCCTGGCGCCGGGAGGCGCGCGGGAAAATCAGCTGCGTGAGCTGATTCTCCCCCCCCCCCTTAGCTATGCCCCCCTGTTGCCCGGACCGAGAAGGCAGCGCCGGGGTCCTCACGACACGACCCCGCCGTGCGGAAAGAGCAGGGTCGAAGAGCGACGGCAGGTGCTGCCCCTTTTGAGCGGGAGTCGCTGTCGGGGTCGCCGCGGGCGGTCTCATGTTGAGGCGGACGGTCGTCTGCTCAACATCAGGAGCGACAAAAGGACGTACATGAATCCACGCTGGTTTCGAGAGTATGCATTGCGCAAATGTTCGTATAACGCGGCCGGTCTCGGGGATCGAGGGGCCGTGTTCATGTACACAGCTGGGCGCGTACGTCCTTTGTGGGCTCCCTACAACAGCGGCCGCTGTCAGCATTGGGCAGCATTCGCTGCTGGGCATTGCCTCCATTTCTCCGTACCCCGTGTTGGGCGTGCCGAGCGGGGGCGGCGCGACAGGGGCCGGCTGCTCCGAAGACAGGGGTCTCCAGAGGCTTCCAAGATGGGATCTTGGAAGCCACTGGGCCCTTCTGAGAAGATCCCTGCCTTGTCAGAAGCGCGGCCGCCTTCCTGAGAAGCCCACACCCCGCGCGCCACTCCCCCTGTGGGCGCCTCCAAGCGTCGTGTGCGACGTGCCCTGCTCGGCGGACGGCCAGCTGCGCAAGTACAACCACGACTGGGACGTCCGGGAGTCCCTGCAGGTGCCTGCTCATCTCAGAGGAGGAGTACCGATGCCGCTGCCCGTCCTGGAGACCCCTCGTCGCCGCGGATGGACTCGCTTCGAAATTCTGGTCCGAACGCGGCCCGGGAGAGGCCCGGGGAGTAGCGACATCGGTGTCTTTTTCGTGTCCCCACTCTTTGCTGCGCAGCCTCCAGTTCCTCGACGTCCCCTTCCCCCCCATCCTCCCCCCAGCCTCCTGCACCAGAGGAGGGCTAGTTGGGACAACTCGGGGCTCAAGAGACGGTGGTCAATGCAAACAGGGGTCAGCCAGAGCGCCGGATCTTGCAGGATCCTCCTGCAGGGACAGGGTCGCATTGACCAGGGACCCATTGACTCGGGTCTGGGCGCAGGATGCTGCAGGATCTTGCAGGATCCTGCAAGGTCTGACCGCCTGGCCCAGATTTGCTTAACATCGGTCCCCCGGGCCTCTCCCGGGGTTCAAGCGGACGCGTTTCTTTGGGCGCCGCGTAATGGGGGGGTCATAAACGGGGGGGTTTTGCGTGTGGTCCGAAAAGATACCAAACGGTACCTAAACGAGCCCCCTGGGGCTCCGGAGGGGCCCGAAAGGGGCACGAAAGGGGACCTTTTCTGACCCCCCCATTTGTGACCCCCCCAGTAAGCCACGCCCAATTTCTCGACGCGGGGCCAGCAGTGGCGATGACCAGCCTCCAGGAGCACCAAGAAGGACGCGGAGCGCCAGGAAGGGCCGGCTTTTTGCCTCGGCTCGGCCACGCGCAGAGGAGGGGCAGGGGGAGGGGGGGAGGCTGCTGTCAAGCACCCCTGCTTCTCAGAAGTCAGGAGGGGAGGAGGGGAGTCTCGACTCCCAGGAAAACGTGGAAAAGTATGGGAATTGGGGGGGAAGACAGAAACCCGGAAAATATGGGAAAATATGGGGAATCTTTTTATTTGTGTGTATTTATTTGTGTGTCCCAGGGCCCCTTCAGGAAGGCGCGGGCCCTGTTTCTAGATGTAAGGCCACCGCCTTTCAAGACGCAGCCTCCTTCTGGGAAGCCTTCCCCCTCCCCCTAATTACCCCCTTGTGCGCGCCGCCAATCTTACCAGCCTGGAGCATATCCCTATCCCTATGCTGGGCATCTCCTCATGACGATGCCAATCTTAGGGATTCCCTTATTTTTTGAGGGCGCATCCCTAAGATGGTCATCGCCTTTTGGCGTGCCAATCTTAGGGATAGGGATACGTTCGAGGCTGGTAACAACCGACTTGGCCATCTTCCGCCTGCAGGTGCACCACGTGCAGCTCGAGCTCCTCAGGCGCGGCCTGGAGCTCCTCAAGCCTGGCGGGCAGCTCTGCTACTCGACGTGCGCCGCCCGCTTCCCTGTCGGCCGCACATCAGGGAGTGCCCCTTTTGAGGTTCCTGGAGGCCCCCGACGCTTACCAGAGGCCCTCCCCTCCTCGGCCTGCCTCTTCATCCTCCTTTCCTCCTCCTCCTCCTCCTCCTCCTCCTCCTCCTTGCTCTCTTCCTTTCTTCCTTTCCTCTTCCTCTTCCTCCTTTCTTCTTCCTCCTCCTCTTTTCCTCCTCCTCCTCCCTCTCCCTCTCCCTCCTCTCCGCCTCCTCCTCCTCCTGCGCCGCCTCCTCCTCCTCCTGCCCCAGCACCCCGCCCCCGCCGATACCGGCTCCCCCAGCCCCTGTCATCTTGCCCCGGGCCCCCCGCCTCCACAAGCCTGCCTCGTCAGCTCCTGCCCTCCCGTCCGACCCACTGTCCTGCACCTCTTCCGGCTCTTCCTGTCAGCCTCCTCCTCCTCCTCCTCCTCCTCCTCCTCCTCCTCCTTCTCCTCCTCCTCCTCCTCCTCCTCCTCCTCCTCCTCTCCCCCGCGGTCGGACTGCTGGGGTGGGGACTCCCTGGCGAAGGACCCAACCATATGCAGTTGTGAGCATCACAATTGAATATCGTCATCGATGGCGCTCCCCATGGGGCAGCGACTCGCATGACCTCCTCCTCCTCCTCCTCCTCCTCCTCCTCCTCCTCCTCCTCCTCTTTCTTTTCCTCCTCCGACTCCTGATCATCCTCCTCCTACCCCCTTGGTCCTCCTCCTGCTCTTCCTTCTCCTCCTCGGGGAGGGTGAGTATTAGGGTTGAGTCGGGCCTGTCCCTCTACAGGGGGGATATTCAACAATAGTCAAGCAACAGTCTGGAGACGACTTTTTTTTACCATTTTGGGGCATGGTTGGTGCATTTTCTGGGGTAGATTTTTGATTTCTCCTTCCAAAATCCTCCTGCAGGGGGACAGGCCCGACCGAAGGTTCGGGGTACTGTCAGGGGGGGATGGGCTCATGGGCTCCGGGAGGGACGCCTCGACCCCGAGCTGCACACTCGTGTCGCCGAAAGGGGGCCCGACGGCCCGTCCGGCCCAGGGACGTGCGGCTTCGCTGGTGGGGGCCTGTCGTTGTGGAGGGGCCTATCGTTGTGGTGGGGGCCTATCGTTGTGGGGGTCTATGTAGTCGATGCTCGTTTCGGGGATCTTCCTGGGGCCCACCTAATGGGTCTCTTCGACTCAGGTTCGACTCAAGTTCGACTCAGGTTCGACACAGATTCGACTCAGATTCGACCCAGGTTCGACTCAGCTTCGACTCAGGTTCTACTCAGGTTCGACGCAGCTTCGACGCACGAGTGGAGCGATTGGCTCCGGGAAGGTCCCCAGAATGAGCATCTAATATGTAGGGGGGGCGCATCGACCCCGAATCGCCCACTGATCGCCGATAGGGGGCCCGATAGCCCGCCCCGCCCAGGAACGTGCGGTTTCGCTATCGGTCGGGGGTGGACCGACCTTCTGCCCTGACACGTCGAGTAGCGAGTTGGCCGTTTTCGGTTCGCGAGAGGGCGTCGCGGCCGTCATTTTTACGGGTCCGGGTCCGTCGGTTTCGGCCCCAGGCCGTTTTTTTTTAAAGGGATGTTTACTAAAGGGAGGTTTGTCCAGCGCGGAAGGACGATCAATGGAGAGGAAGCATGTTGCCAAATAACGTTAAGCATGTGTCAAACATGTGAATAACGTGTTTAAAACGTGTTCAGAACATGTTCCCGGCATTTTAAACACATGTTCAGTTCACTGATGGGACTGGTAGGGTGTCCATTGTCGTGGCATCCACAAGCCTATCGTTGATCTGTCGACGATGCATCGCTGCTCCCAGCTCGACGCTTCCTCCCCCCGGAGCCGGCCCCCCTCCAACGTGGCCCCTCAGAGAGAGGCTCGGAAGATCTAGGGTCCATGCTTTGGCTCGCGTGTTTTTTTTTGTGCCCCTGGAGGTCTCCGAGATACATCGCTAAATGCACAGAGCGTGTTCCGCAGCGCACTGGGAGTGTTCCGGCTCGCTTTGTCACGATCGCGGCGCCGAACACGTCTTCCAGCTCCGCCGGTTCTCAGAGATCCCTATTTTAGTTGGATCCTTTTTTGTGTTCATCCTGCTTTCGTCTTACCTCGATCCTAATCCTCGCCTCCCCCAAACGCAGAACTCGATGGCAGACCAAATTACACTCTTGCGGCAGCATATCCAGTGGCCTCCAGCACATCCAGCCACCGTGCCTGGGTTGTGGGTATGAAGCCTAGTGGATGTTCGTCGGGATCTCGTGGGAGGCCCCTCGGGGGCCTTTGGAAACAGTTTTTGAGGCCTCTTGGGAGCCGTTTTGGAGCCTCTTGGGGCCTCTTTTGAGCCTCTTGGGGGCCGTTGGGGGCCCTCGGCGGAGTTTTAGGGGCCTCCTGGGGGCCTCTTGGGCGCAGCCTTGCGCCTCCTGGGGCCCTCTTGGGCCGTCTTGGGCGCGTCTTGGGGCGCTCTTAGGCCGTCTTGGGGCCCTCATGGAGGCCTCTTGGGCCGTCTCTGGGTGGTATCGGGAGCCTCTTGGGCCGTCTTGGAGCGTCGGGAAACAGAAGAGGCGAGAACGCTACAATTCTTCAACAATCTACGGCTAGTCCAATGAGTTGTGCCTCTTGGTGCCATCTTAGGAGGCCACTTGGAGGCCTCTTGGAGGCCTCTTGGGTCGTCTTGGGTACATCGTGGGCGTCTTCGGCCGATCTCTGGGCGTACTGGGGCCCGTAGTCTTGGGATCGCTCGGACGTGTGCATTTTTTTCGTTCGGCGAGGACCATCGAGGAGCATCTCTGATCATTTGGCGCAAAAACCACGCACGACCCCCCGAACAAAAACACGAAATGGACGGCCAGTCTTGAAGCCTTCTGGAGCCCTCGTGGCCCGTCCTGGGGTCGTCCTGAGTCCGCCGTGGGGGAGCCCTGGGGGCACGCGAGAAGCCTCGGTAGATCGAGGGCCGAGCGAGGGCGAGAGGACGTGAGGACACGCCCACTCCGCTCAGCAGCACAGTGGCGGACTGTGAGCGGCTTCACGCAGTTTCGATGGGGGCCGCCGCAGCCGTGGACTAGGGATAGGGATATGGGTAAGGATAGGGATGTAGGGCTGAGGCTGTAGGCATCGTGATATAGGGATAGGAATCGGGAGAGGGATTGCGACAGGCAGACAGGATAGGGAGAGGGGTAGAAGGGATTGGGTCAATTAGAGGGACAGGGATAGGGATCGAGATGGAGACGCCCATGGGAGGCCACATGAGGCAACGGAGGGCAACGGAAGGCAACGTCGCCCTTACGATTTTGGATCCGGCAGGCCACCCAGCAGTTCCTCAGGACAGTCCTGGGGCATCCTTGCAGACAAACTGCTTACAGATCCTTCTCGATCGTCGATCCTTGAACCTCGGTCCGTCCAGTTTTTTATTTCCATGCTGCCTTCGTCTTGCTATGCCTCCGCCGGGGGTGCGAGCCTTGGCGACAGACTCTGGCGGGGCAGGCCCGTCGTCGGCGTCGGGAGGGCGCGGGAGGCAGCTAGGCTCAGGAGGAGGAGCCGTAGCAGAACGCCACCGCGGGGCAGATGTTAAGCCGGGCCTGTCCCTCTACAGGAGAAATATTCAAAAATAGAAGAAAAATCGTCAGGGGGCGATTTTTTGACATGTTTCAACTATTTTAGGACATGTTTTGACTATTGTTTTAGTTTTCGTCCAACAATCCCCCTGTAGGGGGACAGGCCCGACTTAAGGCAAAAGGGATCTGCGGGGACGGGTTCTGAGGCTGTGGGCCGTTTGCGGGCTGCCGGGGCCGGGGCCCCAGGACCACCATAGGGGAGCAAAAAGTGGCATAGAAATAAAAACTCGGAGGCCCGCGCGGATTTCTCGGATCGGCGCTGGGGCCCCCCGGCGGCGCTTCCAGCGCCGCCCCTGGCGCGCTCCGCGCGCCAGGGAGGGGGGTCCAGCGCCGATCCGTGAAATCAGCGCGGACCTCCGAGTTTTTATGTTTATGGGAGCTTTCGTTCCCCTGCACCAGCAACGGGTTCAGGGTGACAGGGTTTTTGGTCTTGGAGGGGAGGGCCCCGTGGCCCAGGATACAGACGAGAAGGCTCCTGGCATCGGCAGAGGTCCTGAGGACTGTGCCCCCAGACCAGCCCCTCTTTGAACAGCAGCTTCTAGCCAACCCCTGTCCCCATCCTCGCAGGCCTATCCAGACCCCATCCGTCTCGGCGCCCCAGTTGCGGATTGGCCTGTTCCAAACTCGGAAAAAAAAACAGCCGATATACCCTATCCAGCGGGGGTTATCGGCCAGTCAGGCCCATGCCACGTCCATGTCGAGGACGCCTCAGGTTCGAGTTCGCAGGAATTCGGGCTTGCCGACGCTGTTTGACGAGCGCGCTCTGGATTCTTACGGTCCAGCCGTCGTGGGATTTTCGCATCGGGAGTTCGCGCCAAGTCCCAGATGGGGTCCCGCCATTCTCCGGACCCGAGTCCTGCGGCTCCCCGACGACGGGAGAAGCCGCCGGCAAAGCGATGCTCCCTTCCGCCCGCGGGCGGCAGAAGCACGGCCGCGCGTGCTCCTGCAGGCCGGGCGCGCGCCGTGATCTGCGGGCAATAGTTCCATCCATACCCAGGGCGTCTTGGCCTTTCGTGCAAGGGGCGCCGCAAGGCCGAGGCGCACTGGCCATGGATCAGATTCGAGCCTCCAGCAGGGGCCTGGCTCTTATCCACAGCCAGTGCTCCTCGGCTTTCTGGGGAAGGGACCCGAACCCCCAAGGCCGCACTGGATATGACACGTTTTGCCCGCTCCGCCCGCCCCGCGGCCCGCACAGGCCAGGGGCAGCGTCGGGGGGGGGGAGTCGGAGGGTCCCGAGAAGCCCAGACGCTCGCAGGAGGAGCAGGGGAGCAGGATAATGAGAGGGGGGGGGATGGAGGACGGAGAGCGAAGGGTGGGGGATCGAGGAGGAGCGGGCCATCCGCCTGCCCCTGATCGAGGTGGATCGGGGATCGAGGGGGGAGGAGGAGGAGGAGGAGGAGGAGGAGGAGGAGGAGGAAAAGGAGGAGGAGGAGGAGGAGGAGGAGGAGGAGGAGGAATAATTATAGTAAGAATAATAATAATAATATTAATAATAATAATAATGATGAGACTAATGCGAATCATAGAAATGATGATAATAATACTAATAATAAGACGATTACGAATAATAAACATACTAGTAAGAAGAACAATGATAAGACGAATCTGAATACTAACACTACGAATACAACTACGAATACGAATAATAGTCATATTAATAAATATACTAATAATAAGAATAATAAGAATAGTACGACTAATAAGAATAATCATAGGATTAATAAGAAGAGTACTAATATTACTAATCATACTAATAGTTAGAACACTACGGAGAATAAGACGACGACTACTGATAACAATCATGATAATAATAGTAATAATAAGAAGAAGAGGAGGAGGAGGAGGAGGAGGAGGAGGGGGAGGAGGGCGAGAGAGGAGGAGGAGGAGGAGGAGGAGGAGGGGGAGGAAGGAGGAGGACGAGGAGATGGGACGAAGGATGAGCAGGAGGTCGGAGGTCGGAGGAGCAGGAGAGAGGGGGGAGGAAGAGGAGGAGCAGAAGGAGGAGGAGGAGGAGGAGGAGGAGGAGGGCGAGGAGAGAGGGAAGAGGAGAGAGGGAGGAGGAGGATGAGGGGCAGAGGAGGAAGACGAGGAGGGTGGCCGCGCGGAGCAGGAGGAGGAGGAGCAGCGCTGTCCACCTCGCTCTCAGGTGTTCCGTCAACCCCATCGAGGACGAGGCGGTCGTGGCCGCCGCCCTCGCGGGCAGCTCAGGCCTGCGCGGGGATCGCCGCGGGGGGTCGGGCCGGAGGGCAGAGGGGGGGTCGGTCGGAGGCGGCCAAGCACTCCTCCTCCTCCTTCTTCTCCCTCCTCCCTCCTCCCTCCTCCTCCTCCTCCTCCTCCTCGAATCCCTCCTCCCTCCTCCTCCTGCTCCTCCTCCTCCGCCTCCTCCTCTGCCTTCCTCCGCTCTCCCTCCTCCTCCTCCTCCTCCTCCTCTCCTCCTCCCTACTCTCCTCCTCCTCCTCCTCTCCTCCTCCTCCTCCTCCTCCTCCTCCTCCTCCTCCTCCTCCTCCCCGAGGGGGGTGATGACCTCGATGAGGACCGTGCCGACCTCGACGGTCTCGACGACGGTTATCCACGACGAAGACGCCGGCGAATACGACGATCGCGATCCACGGCGACGTCGACGACGACGTCGGCGAGGACGATGGGGTCGACCAGGGGCGGCCAGGAGGGGGTGATGACTAGGGAGGGTAGATATCAAGGCGGGGGCCATGGTATCTTCCAATATCTCATAGCGTCTCTTCTTAGTTCATTGCGTCCGCAACCTCCCCTGGGCCGCGCACGTGCCGGTGGCGATGAGCTACGCTCCCCCCTCTCGGACGTCCCCCTCTTGGCCGCCCCCGAAGGGCAGCGGTCGGGAACGGTTCGGGAAATGGGAGGCGGGTGCATCAATAACCAACATTCCGCGCGGACTTTTCGGATCGGCGCCGGGCCCCGTTTGGTGGCGCCTCTGGCGCCGCCCCTGGCGCGCTCCTCTCGCCAGGGAGGGGGGTCCGACGCCGATCCACGAAATCTGCGCGGACCTCCGAGACATTATCGAATGGCCTTCGCCCCATCCGGACACCGTGCTTGGGTTGCGGCGGGCATGAAGCCTAATTATTGGATGTTCGCTGGGATCTCGTGGGATGCCCCTCGGGGGCCTCTTGGAGGTAGTTTCGCGGCCTCTTGCGGACCGTCTGAGGTCCTCTTGGTGCCTCTTTGGAGCCTCTTGGGGACCGCTTGGGGCCACTTGGGGGGGCTCTTGGTGGCCTCCTGAGGGCCTCTTGAGCGCCTCCTGGGGCCTTCTGGGGGCATCTTTGGGCGGAAGTCTTCGGTTCGTGGTCCCTCTCTTGAGCGCCTGTTGGGGCTGTCTTGGTGCCGTCTTGAGCGCGTCTTGGGCCGTCTTAGGGCGCTCTTACGGTATTCGGGGCCCTGTTGGAGGCCTTTTGGGGTGTCTTGGGGAGGTCCTGGGGACCTCTTAGGCCGTCTTGGAGCGTCGGGAAACAGAACAGGCGAGAACGCCAACATTCTTCAAACACATACGGAACATCCAATGAGGCGTGCCTCGTGGGCCCCTCTTGGGAGACCTTCTGGAGGCCTCTTGGGGCGTTTTGGAGGCCTCTTGGGCCGTCTTGCGTCCATTTTGGGCGTCTTGGGCCGATCTCTGGGCGTACCGGGGCCCTCTCGGGCCGCCTCGAAGGTCTCCTGGAGCCCTCTTGGCCCGTCTTGGGGTCGTCCTGGGCCCGAGCAAGTCGCGCGGGGAGATGCGCCGGAGTCCAGGTGGCACGCGGGAAGCGCCAGTAAATTTGGAGAATTTGGGGTCCAGGCCCTCCTCCTCCTCCTCCTCCTCCTCCTCCTCCTCCTCCTCCTCCTCCTCCTCCTCCCCCTCCTCCTGACTGAGGATTAAGGCTACTGGGATTCGGCAAGGAACCTCCGGACACGTCCACTCCGTGCCCAGAGGCACGGTGATGGATGTTTGTGTTGCTGTCTTGTTGCTTCATTAATGGGCTAACTCGGGTTCGTCACTACAGTTCGCCCTAGGTTTTCTTCAGTTCTTCGATGGGAAATCGTTTCTTATGTAGGGTTCCTTAGGTCAACGCCCCGATTGTACCCCCTGACAACTCGGGCCGGGGGCCAGGGGCCCTGGCCCGAGTTGCCCCGGACAACTCGGGCGCCCAATAGAGGAGGATAGGCTCGGGCATGGGCGCATCGACGCCCAGTCGCCCATTCATCGCCGACAGGGGCCTTGGCATCGCTCGGACGTGTGCATGTTTCCTTCGGCGAGGACCATCGAGGAGCATCCTTGATCATTTGGCGAAAACACCACGCACGAAACCGAAAAAACTCAGGGAATCGACATCCGAGCGATGGCGAGGGGCCCGATAGCTCTCTTTGCTGTGCTTCGGATGCAACTTCTTGGAGGTCGACTGCAGCATCGGCGCATATATATATATATATATATTTATATATATGTATATATATATACGTATATATATACATACAGGTCAGTCCGGTCTCATGGTTTCGTCGTTTTTTTGTTACGGAGATCGGCGGCGAGCCTGGGGAGAATCAGGAGGGGAACAAAAACACAGACACAATGAATCGTCGATCCCCCAGAACATATGGGAAAATATGGGAAGTGGGGGGGCAAGACAAAAACCCATAAAATATAGGAAAAGATGGGGAATCTTTTTTCTGTGTGTGTTTATCTGTGTTTCCCAGGGTCCCTTCAGAGAAGTGAGAAGGGGCGGGCCTTCTCAGCAGGCTCGGAAGCCCCCGGGCCTTTGCGAAGTTCTCCAAGCTTTTTTACCAGAAGACGCAGCAAGCCTCTCAGAAGGCCCGGGGCCTTCTGAGAAGCCCCGCCACCTTCTGAGAAGGCCTCCTCCCTCCCACTTCCTTCCCCTGCTCGCCGCCGCTTCACACTCCTCCTCCTCGTCCTCCTCCTCCTCCTCCTCCTCCTCCTCCTCGTCCTCCTCCAGCCTCTCGGGGCAACCAGGGCGGGCATTTCGTGGGCTCGCCGCCGAGAAGACCTCCCTGGAGAGGCATCCCAGCTCTCGTCCGCCCCGGCGCCAGGGAGGGCGGCGGCCCCCCCCCCTGCAGCACGCACCGCACGACTGCCGCGGCCGCGGTCCTGCCCGGCAGGAGCCGTGCGGCTGGTGCCTATGCCCAGCCACCTGGACGGCGTCGATTGGCAGCCCGGCGTGAAGACGTGGCGGGCGCTCAGGGGCCGCGGGCGCCTCCGATCAGGGAGCCTTGCGCGAGTGAGCTCCAGGAGAAGGCTAAGGAGGAGGAGGCGGAGGAGGAGGAAGGGGAACAGGAGGAGGATGAACTCCACGAGGAGGAGGAGTGGGAGGAGAGGGTTCTTCAGGATGAAGAGGAGGAGGAACTCTAGGAGAAGGAGGAGGGGAGGGCACGGGGAGGAGGAAGAGAAGGAGGAGGAGGAGGAAGAACTCCTGGAGGAGGAGGGAGAGGAGGAGGAGGAGGAGGAGGAGGAGGAGGAGAAGGAGGAGGTGGAGGAGAACGAAATGCAGGAGGAGGAGGAGGAGGACCAGTTTGAATCCAAGACGCATCAGCAATGGTGCAATAACCCCTCCCTCCAAGTCCTCTCTTCATGGGCACCTGCAAGACTTTGTTTCTAATAACTTCGCTCATTCCGCCGGCCCGTATCGTGCCATCCGGTGACGTGTGCCTGTGTGTTCGTGGGGGGCGCGCGGCGCGGAGTGGTCGTTTTCCAGATGACTAGTGACAGCGCGCATGAGGTTGTGATTCTCCTCGGAGAGCTGTGGCTCCCGGGGAGCAGTCTTGAAGCCTCTTGGGAACGTCTCTGGGACTTCTTGTGAGCCTCATGGAGCTCTCTTGGGGCCTCTCGGGGGCCCCTTGGGGGGCTCGAGGGGCCTCCTGGGCGCCTCTTGGGGCCGTCCTGGGGCTCTCTTGGTCCATCTAGGAGTCGTCTTGGGTCGTCTTGGAGCCCTCTTGGGCCGTTCTGGGGCCCCCTTGGGGGCCTCTTGGGCCGTCTTGGGACGGTCTCGGAAACTTCTTGGGCTTTCTTGGAGCGTCGGGAAACCGAAAAGGCGAGAACGCCCATATCCATCAAACACCGAGGGAGTGCTCTTCGAGGCTTCATGGGCCGTCTGGGGGCCATCTTGGGCGTCCTGAAGCGATCTTGTCGTGTCCCGAAGGCCTCTAGGACAATCTAGGGGGCCTCTTGGGGGTCGTTGGGCCGCTCTTGGAGCTCTTGGGAGGCCCCGAGGGCGGCGCCCAGGAGCAGCATCATCTCTGATGGGAACTTGCCGGGGACCTGCCCGGGACCTGCTTGGAGTACGGGGCCTCCCCGCGCGCGCGAAATAGATTTACTATTGACCAGTTGCTGGAGATGTCAGCTCGCTTCTGGCCCGTTGGGCCGGCGAATTTTCAGTGCTGGAATTGGCCCGTTGGAAGACAACCGTCTTCGAATCCTCAATTGTATCAAAACCCTACTTCCTGAACTTCAGCGCCGCTAATCAACTCTATTGTTGCGTCCTGGTGATCGTGAATCGTTCCAGAACGCTACTCCTAGGATTTAAACACCGCGAATCAACGTGACCGCTGCGCCCTGGCAGTCCTAAACCTCATGCAGTGGCGAAGCGTCACAGGTCGCCTATAGGTCTACCAACGAATATTATAAAACCTGTTGTGGTCTGCGCGAAATGTTCTTAGAACATTTCTGGCTGAGACTGTCTTTTGCTATCACATCGGGCCGATGGTCTAGTAACCTTGTTTCCGTTCTTAGAACATTCAAGGGTTCTGAGAACATGTCGTGGTAGGCCTATAGGCATGCCGGGACGGTAGGTCCCTGCTCAAAAACCGTGGAGGAACATATGTTTTGGGATTGCAACCATGAGAGTATGTTACATTGTTGTATTATTTGGAGACGAGTGTGCGCGGCGCGATGGCAAGAGTCATATTATGAAAATTATCCGCTCTCTATTTGTCGAACACTTGCGAGCTTACAAAACAAATGTGCGCGGCGCTCAGGCGAGAACCACATTGGAAAAAGAACAGCCCTCCATCTGTGAAGCCCTTGCACACTTCAGAGACGAGTGTGCGCGGCGCTTCGGCGAGAGCCACATTGCGAAAACCATCGGCCCTCAATCTGTGAAGCTCTTGCACACATTCGACGAAGGTTCGCGGCGCTGGAACGTAAGCCGTGAACCACTTTTTGAAAATCATCCGCAGTCCATAAATGAAGTCCCTGCGACAGTTTCAGACGAACGCCCGCCCACCTGATCTTGTATCACGTAAGCTTCGGGACCATACATGGTGAAGAGGCCTCAGGCGAAAATCCAGTCAGGCCCACCCTTCCGACTCGCCTCGGGGTGTGATAGGGAGAGTCATTCATAGGCTCATAGGGTAAAGGGATGGATCAAGAGGAGGAGGCGGAGGAGGCGAAGGAAGAGCAGGATCAGGAGGTGGAGCAGGCGGAGGATAATGCGGGGGATGAGGAGGAGGAGGATGCAGGAGGAGGGAGGAGGAAGTGGAGCGAGAAGGGGACGGGGAGGTGGAGCGTGAGTGGGAGCGGGAAGGGGAGAGGTAACGAGGAGGTTGGAGTAGGTGAAGGATGAGGAGGAGGAGTCCGGTTGCGGCTAGACCATCATATCGTTTCTGTTTAGAAAACGGGCCACTGGGGATGAAGAGGCTTCGACATATCCCCGGAACTGTAGATCTACAGTTTGCTGGTCCCAATTATACATTTTGCTGCGTGATGTGTAGAAGCACAGTCCGCTGTGCACTTCAACCAATTTCTGCTTCATGTCCTTCTACACATGTCTGTGTGATGCGTAGAAGCTACGTGTTCTGATGTATAGATTTGGCTCGCCGAAGACAAACTACACCGATCCACGGATGTGTATAACCTGATGTCTGGTTCTGACCCCCCAGTAGTGTGAGGGCGTGGAAACAACCGACAGGTTAGGTGTCATCGGCCTAAAACATATGTTGATCATAAACGTTGCGCTCTGGTGCAAATTAAGACCTACCAGCTTCAACTAGTTCGGTCAGTTTTGGCCGGGATGCCCTGTTCTTGAGTCCAGCCCTACGCATCCCCGCGCATCCCAGCCTTGCCAAACCAGTCGGTTTTGGCAGTCCAGCTCCGCCCAGCGCACTGCAGTCGAGCCACGCCGTCCCAGCTGGCCCGCTAGGGCGGGTTAGTGTCACCTCACCGATGTCATGTCGTCCAGATTCCCTTGGGGACAGGGGTGGCGAGGTCTGGTTGATTGGCGTGGTCATCGCAGTGGCACTGCGGGAGTGACTCCGAACCCCCACAAGGCCCCCAACTCCACGTGGCCTGAAAACGTCCACGTGGAGTAGGCCAGGAGGGCCACACCGATTGATCAATCAGACCTCTAAGGGACCCTCCCTCCTCCTCCTCCTCCTCCTCCTCCTCGTCCGAGCTCGGCACCTTGCGTCTCGCCCTCTTGGCCGGCCTCTGCTCTTCTGTGGGCGTGTGCCGTCGCCGCGGCGGTGCGCGGCGGGGCCGCCTCGGCCCGCGGCTCCTTGGCGACCGACAGGGGTCCCAACGCTGGGGCAGCGCCCGAGCTGGGCGGAACCGGACGCGCCCGACACCGGCGCGAGCTTGCTCTTCGCCTCCGCCGAGCTCCGCAATTGCACCCTGGCGCAATCCGTGCCCAAGGCCGCCATGAGCTGCGTCCTGGACAACTGGTCGAGAATGGTCGCCTTGATGAGCACGTGCTCGGACGCCCCGTGGGTTGGCGGCAACTCCAGCCACTCCAGATCGCTGTCCGGCACGTGGTAGGGCGTCACATCTGGGTGGTTGTGAGCGCCCATTGCCCGAGGTACCTCGGGGGGTCGAGGCGGGGCCCTCTCCGAGCCTTCGCCGGGACGTTACGAGGGCTCAAGAGGGCCCACGGGCGGCCCGAAATAACCCCAGGAAGGCTCCGAGAGGGACCTGGCACCCGGCATTTTGAGCAGTTGTCACAATGCCGGGTGCCCAGACAGCCAGGAATCCTCCAGACGGCCCAGGAGCGGCCCAAAAGAGCTTAAGACATGCTGCGTTTTGTTAACATTCTCAGGGTGTAATTGTCCAGCTGGTATGGCTGGAATGATGTAAAATAAATCATAGCGGCTGAGGAATACAACGCCTCTCAAATGCAACAGGTTTTCCCGCCAGTGTTTGGGAGATGCGTGCACTTCTCGATTCGTACCTGGTGGAAAAAGCGGTTGCATTTGAGAGGCGTTGTACTCTTCATTTACAGCCACTAGGAGTTATTCTACAGCATCCCAGCCTTACCAGCTGAACGCTTACACCCAAGTGGTCCAACTGACCCCAACTGGCGCAACGATTACCGGCCCAGATTTGCGCCCGCACGGTAATGGCGGACTATGCAACGCGCAGTAGGATACCTTCAGGCACCGTTGGATCTCCTCTGATGCGAAGGTGTGCCGGGGATTTCAGAGGCTTCTAGGAAGGCGCCCCCGCCGGCAGGCGGACTCCCCGGAACCCCGAGTTTATGGACGCGCCCCCGATACCGTTGTTTTTTAAGCCTCACATCGGCAGCATCCTTGCCGAGCTCGACAGCGCGTTCCGAGATTATCTTGGGAGACGCACTGAGGCCCCAGGTCTCGTTTGATAACCCCCCACCCTCCACCCCAGATTCTGATGACAATCCTGAATCTGGGAAAAGCTAAGTTCATTAAGCGGATGCTATGGATGCTTTGTGCACAAAAGACAAGAAAGATGGATATGTTGTACTGCTTGCGCATTGAGCCAGCATTCGCAGTATGATCTGACTCTGGCCCAGGGAACATATGTTATTACTATACGTTCGGGCTTAGTGAGACAACGTGCCTAACAGGTCCTAGCCATCATAATAGCAACTCTGGTTTTATTTTCTTTAGGACATGTTGAATCTATTAAGGATAACCCCGGTCGGTTCTACTGGAGTTCGGTACCAGCTATGAGGGGAGCGAAGCAATATATAGATGGATACATTTATATACATATATATACGTATTCATATCAGTCCTAGACAGACAAGCCAAGACTGGCTCATCTACCACGGCCAACAACTATTCATACATTGAAATAGCTCCAAATTTCAATACATTGAAATCGCCCCAATATCGTGAAAATGAAAAGGCCCAATACCTCGAGATTGAAATAGCTTCAACATCTCGAAAAGGTAGCCGTTATAGATAAAGATAGAATTTTAGTGAAACC